AGCCCAACTACCTCTGGCAACAAGATTCAGGCTGCACCCATGCTCTGCCCGCCTTTCCAAACCACCCTCCTGGGGACCTTCTTCCACAATCCAGCCAAGGTGACGTCTGAGTCATCACTGATTCTGTGTGCCTTTCTGTGCCCTAAACCAGTAGCACATTGAACTAAATCTTTTCTGTACCAAAGTGCTAGACAGCCTCTTGAATGGTGTGACCCTTCGCCCCAAAGGGAGACATTAAAATTCAAGGTGCTCCGGAAAAAAAAAGTAATTGTTATCATGACTAATTGCGACTGTCACAATTTTAAAGGTAGAAATTTTGTAACAAAAATGGGGGAGTAGTTAATCTTACATTAAAGGAACAGAAGACCTTAGGACCATGAAGGGAGAGGAGTACACACAGGCGGAGTGCAGGACCCTATCCAGAGAAGCAGCAACATTGGAGATGGAGTCAGAGATGGGGACATGGAAAGAGGGAGCAGTTGAAGACTCTAGATTCAGGGAAAAAGAGGGACTGAGTGCTGGTGGCCAGAAGGCAGGTTTGCAGAATGTGCCCTTTGGTGATTTAAATTATTATATATGCTTGAGCGTTAAAAAAAAAACCTAAAATGTATAGAGAGAAATGCTGTTAACTGATGGCACCTGGAAGGGATTATAATCATTGGAATGTAACAAAGTATAAAAACTGATGATCTGCCTGGTAAACTTCTGCTCAAATGACAATAAAAACTTTAAAAAAAAAAGCATACATATACACATACATTTTAAAAAAGATTATGCAGGGGAAGATAGAGTCCCCATTGAACAGTTTTCATCTTGTTTAGACTGGTCTGGTGGAAAGAGATGGGGATAAGATTCTTACGCTTCAGTAGTGTGTAATTGTTATCATGATTAATTGCAACTGTCACAACTGTAAAGGTAGAAGTTTTGTAACAAAAAACGGGGGAGTAATTAATCTTATAGTCCAGAAACAGAGAATCCTAGGACCATCAAGGAGGACTAGTACAAGCAGAATACAGGACACTATCCTGAGAGGCGAACCGCAAGGTAAGCAGTTCGAAACTACCAGCTGCTCCGTGGGAGAAAGATGAGACTTTCTGCTCCCGTAAAGATTTTTTTCCCCTGGTAAAGATTTATAGCCTCAGAAACCCTGTTCAGGGTCGCTATGGGTCGGATCTGACTCGACGGCACTTAACAATCCTGAGAGGCAGGGACACCAGAGATGGAGGCACTGGTGATGACATGGAGAGAGGGAGCAGCTGAGGACTGTAGACTCATGAAAAAAGAGGGCCTGAGTGCTGGCAGCCAGGAGGCAGACTTGTAGAATGTGTCCTTTGGTTGTTTAAATTATTATATACCTGAGTGTTTTTGTGTACATCTCCCCACACCCCCAAAAAGAAAAGAAAAACAGAGGGAATAGAAGCAAATACTGTTGAATGATGATGCATGGAGGAGATTAGAATCATTGCAATGATACGATGGTGTAAAGCCGATGTTCTCCCGTGTAAACTATCACTCAGTTCACAATAAAAAAAAATTAATGATTTCATACCAAAGAAGACAATTTGAATAAAAAAATGAAAGGAAGCTTGCACATGATTAAGATAGGTTTACTACCAATACAAAGGCGTATGAACTGCAAGGTCCGTGGTTCCAGCTCACCAGCTGCTCGTTGGAAACCCTATACAGGGTCGCTAATGGTCGGAATTGACTTAATGGCACCGCACAGCAACAGCAACAACATTATCAATACTGTTCTCAAGTAACCTATATTCAGGTGGTGTGACGCTGTGGGCTAATGTGTCAGACTGCAAAGTCGTTTGAACTGCAAAGTCGGTGGTTCAAGCTCACCAGCTGCTCCTTGGAAACCCTATACAGGGTCGCTATGCTTCGAAATCAACTCGATGGCACTTCACAACAACAACAACATTGCTACTTCATGGAATCAACTTGATGACACCCACAGTAACTAATCCTAGCGTACTGGGGAGAATCTTCATTAGGGTAGACAAATATGTCATTTTGGAAAAGTTTAGAATCTTTTCATTTTGAAGTGATCTCAATTCACATACAGTTATAAGAAATAACACAGAGACTCTAAGTGTCTTTTATCTTGTTTCCGCCAATGGTAACATTTTGCATATCTATAATACAATAGCACAACCCATTAACCTTATTCAGTTTTCACCAGCTTTGCACAAACTCATCTGTATGTATGCATGTATGTATTCTGTGTACTTTTACCATCTGTGTAGATTCAAGTATTCATCACCACAGTCAAGATAAAGGACAATTTCATCACCACAAAGATCCCTCATTTTGCCCTCACTTCCCTCTTGCCCTTCCACCCCTGCCACCCAATCCCTGGCAAACACTTATCTATTCTCTGTTTCTATAATTTTCTCACGTTAAGAATGTTAAATAAATGGAATCATAAGGTATGTAACCTTTCAAAATTGGATTTTTTTCAGTCAGTATAAATCTCTAGAAGTTCATCCAAATTGCTGTGTATCAATTCCTTCTTCTTGCTGTGCAGCATTTCATGCTATCAACCGCTGTAGGCATTGTGCTAATTCCAGTTTTTGACTATTAAAGATAAAGCTATGATAAAATTTACTGCACATGGCTTTTGTACGCACATAAATTTCCACTTCTGTAAATACTGGAGGAAATTTTTAAATGTCTGTCAGGGTATTTGGATCCTGTTGTTGTTAAGTGCCGTCAAGTTGGCTCTGACCCATAGCGACCCTGTACAGGATTTCCGAGGCTGTAAATCTTTACGGAAGCAGAACGCCTCATCTTTCTGTTGCAGAGCAGCTGGTAGTTTCGAACTGCTGGCCTTAAGGTTCGCAGCCCGATTCATAACCACTACGATACCAGAGCTCCTTATTTAGATCCTAGTGTAATTTATTTCTTTGTTTTTATCTGGTTGCCTAGTGTCTGCGTTTTCAGTTATCTTTGACCTCTTTTAGAGCATTTGTTTGTTTTCTTTTCTAAGCATTCTACTTAATGGCAAAGGGGAAGTAAAGAGTAGATGATGGATATAGTTTCTCTCCTTTGCTATTTTGTAATTATAGCCTAGACTTCTAATGATGATTACTTTGAGAGTTGCATTTATCTTTGAACTTGCCATGATGAATCTAAGAGCTCAAGAAATAAACTAAGGATTTATTTACTTTCAGGCTTACAAAACAGTCAGATCAAAACAGTCCAAATACACAGATCGTATGACCAATTTCAAAGAAAAAAACAAACCAAAGCAACAGCCACTTCAAGGTAAAGTGAATTTATTATTGTTTCTTCTTCTTTTTTTTTTCTTAAGGTTTTTATTGTGGATTGAGTGAAAGTTTACAGGGCAGATAATCAGTTTTACATTCAACAAATTATACACCTTGTTTCATTACAATGATTACAATCCCCTCCATGTACCATCAGTTAACGGTATTTCTCTCTATCCACTTTAGCTTTTTAAAAAACAAAAACAAAAAA